CGACTGACTGAGATCATCGGGACAAGAGTAACATATTTGCACCTTTTTATCTGAAACTGTTGTTTTGGACGGATGTCTCCAACTGCTTGTAGGATTTCACTGAGTAACAGAAGTCATTTGTAACTAGAACATTCCTGCGATTAATCAGGAGATGGAGGCGAGTTTGGCTTAACAGCGGCTGATAAACTCCAATGTTTCATCTGAGATTTAGAAAAAGAAAGCACAAGTGCCACTGAAGAGACGAAGCATCATAAACCATGTTTTAGTGATAAAAAGTGAGGAGTGTCCCTGACATGATCAGTGTGGAGTGGATCTGAGTGAAAAAGTGAGGGATGGTACACACACCTTGGCTAGGAACTTCTTAATCAAAAGTTAGACCCACCCTTAATCACACCCTTTCTATCAATCTTTCATTAAAGGTCATCATCCCCTTTTTAAACTCTTCTCAGCACATGATGTGAGGGCCTTTTTCCCAGCCTGTTTGGCCTGCAAGCACAAAGTCGTTCCAGCTCATTGTGCACTTAGTCTCCCTGTGCGGCTCCAGTTACGTTTACAGTGTGTAGCCAGAAGTTAGTGTACAACAGGAAGAAACAGCTGCGGTGCCTGAAGCCTTCTCTCATGGCTGTCAGTTATAAAGCACATACAAGACAGATGGACCGAAGAGGAATTCTGTTTGTCATGAACGAGCGAAGCGGTCGGTAACGGTAGCTGCTGTCTCCTCTCAGGCTGACGACACAGGAAACTCCATCTTCACGGTGCTGAGGAGGCCACAGGAGCCAGCTGCTGACCTGAGGAGGGTCAAGAGCTGTGCCGTCTGTTACGGTAACGACTGATGCTCATACCATGAGTAGTAAACACCACGATGCTTGTGCATCATGGTGTTTGGATGGTGCTAACTTTCACATCTTTAGTTTCACTGTTGTGTAATTTATTTGTAATAAAGCTGGCTGGTCATGGTGCTGGACAGCTCAGGGAGATCCAGGCTGATGAACATGTCGGTGCCCTGCAGCTGCTAAGCTCACACAGCTTTGCCATCAAAGACCGAGATGATCAGAAACTGGTCTGTAAAAGTAGATGACCGAGTTCAACGTGGAGTCAGTGATTTACTGGGCAGCATTTCAGCCAAATATCTGGTGTATGGATACATCATCCTCTCATTAATCTGTCTTCAGAGGGAAGATACTGCTGGAATTCTTTGCTTCAGATAAGAGCGAACG